CGATTTATCCAAAAAAGCGGTACTTTATTAAATAATGTACGAACGTTAGTTACAATTTGGGGTCAGTTTTCATTACAGACTGATATCAACAGGAGATTTACAGGAAACTAAGTAGGACTGAATAGTTGATACAATTGAATAGAGTGTGTCACGTAAAACAAAACATCTATTGTGACTTGAACCGATGTCCTCAAACGTTTTTTCTACAGTTTATTATTAAGGCGAAATAATTTTCACCGCAATACTAATTAATTGTTTCATCTTGTATTTATCTAGAATAAATATACAGCGAGAAAATAGTACATATGCACATATGAACCGCACTTCGTCTCTTAGCTTTATGAACTCATTTACCTTTTTTCCCGTCCATATAATATTAATAATCAATATATATGATGCACTAGTACGATTTTATTACTAGGAAGTATTATAGGAAGATGGTGGTTAGTGATATCTGACTCTGGATAACAAAATATATGATCCTCTTGTTCACAAGTATTTTATAAGCCCAGTACAAACAAAACAGCAACAATTAAGACTAATTTTATGAAAAATCGAACACTTGAGATGACTGAGAATTATATCATTATAAATAATGAAAATTTAATCAACCACGGAAGAGTTTAGCAGTTAAAGATAATATACAGAATATTCTCAATCGTTTATTAAATATACAAATAAACTAAACAATATGTATTAAAAATTCAAGGATAAAAACAACAACGCATACAGCAGAGCTACTAATATGTGAATGATAGCAATACAGAACTTTTTAATTTCTACAAGATATAAGCAAATAAAGAAGGGGGTTAGAATTAACAAGTTGATATTGGAGAATTTTATGGATAGGATAAGATAATAAGTCTTTTTGTCACAGTAACTAAGGCTATTAGATGAATTACATAAGATGAAATCAGAAATATCTCTACACAAAACCATAAGGATATGAGAAATACCAAGAGAGAGAGGGGGGAGAAATATTTTTAAATTCGAAACCAATACAATGAAAATAATGGATTATGGATGATGTGATGACGAACATGAGACAAATCTTTTGTGCTCAAAGTTCAAGGCCTTTACATTTAGATTCCAAGACCACTTATTTTAAAGGGCTGGACACAAGTTAATCTTCCCGGATTTCGACGGGAGCAAAGAAAGTAGTAGGTGAACATGGAGGCACATTTAAAGAATTTGCACAATCTAATATTGTTACCGTTTACATTATATTTTCGAGTATTAAAATCTTTCCATTGCACTATTAACTTTATTTATTGATTTAACTTTATTTATGTTTTGATGAGAATCTTCTAAAAGGTTTGATGACTAATGTTCATTGATATTATTCATGATGCACTCGATAGTTAACCTCATAATTCAATATGTCAACCATAACTTGGAAATCACCTTCTTCATGATCATTATTTCTTCCATTTGAATACATTTCACCACAATCTTCGTAAATATGTATAATACATAACTTCAAGAAGAAAATAAAATTACATTTTTAATCGATTTTATATCTCTAAATATTATCAATTTTTGAATGAATGAGTCACTAACATCATGTTATGAAATCAGTTATCTTTCGATAAAAGTACCAGACTTCTGTTAACTTTCGACTTCATCCAATACACTAAACATTGTCTGATGTGTCACTAATCATACAGTACTTCGTTGGGTATTCAATCATTTAACATCAATACTAGTATTATTCTATCAGACTGACATATCACAGTATTGTAGAGAAAAAAATTTCAATAACTCTAAACCTGTTGACGAAATTAAATAAATTCAAGCTTACGATAAACTGTTTTTTTACACATAAGGGGGGTTTAAATTTACGAATAGACAAGGCTTCAACAAACTTGAGAATTCGACCTTGACAATCTCTATACAACGCTTTAAAAGCTATATAAATGTCAATTTTGTGCTCCATTTCAATTATGAACTTCGTTATCGATTAACATGGTTTTCTGTCTCCCACATTGATTGGGTCATTTGATACTAATTGGTTTTGAAGCCATCTAGGCATATGTTCAACGACCCTTGTTTGCATTGTTCGATTACTCCTCCCTATGTATGTGGTAAATCCTCAATAATATGTAACATGTGCGCAAAAACCCATGGCTTAACGTCCTGACCGTGCTGGATTATTTTAAACACTTTATTAGTTATTGACAATAAACTCGAAAGTCTATAATGGTTCCCTTTGTTAATTTCAAGAAACAAAGACTACTGTGTGGATCGCTTTTATAGCTTCAAGATTTACATATCATCTTGCAAGAACGAAAAGCTCTTATAGAACTGGAATCTCACGGATCCAGAATCATTAAAGTTTCATTCAAAAATAAAACGGAAGAGATCACTATGGATGTTATTCAATGTTATGCATCCACCAATGATAGCAAAGACGGTGATAATGATCTTTTTATGCGAAGCTGCAATCGATCAGAGTGAAGTGCTCAGGAAACGACCTGACCATCCTGATGAAAGATCTAAACGTCAAAGTCTAAATAGAAAACACTGTTTATGAATATATTATGGAACGACATGGATTGACTTGGAGAAAAGTACAAGAATGGTGAGAGATTTACGAATTTATGGGCATTCAACAAAATGGTTCTAAGAGGCAAAATATTCCCCACAAACCCATGCACGAAGCTACATGGGTCCCTCTGGGTCAAACTACACAGAATCAGATCTATCATATCTGTATCGGTGAAACGATTCAGGTCAATGGCTCAGAACAGAAACCAGTGGCGGTCCTGTTGTAACTTTCTTTGACTTTCTCCACAAATGTGAGCGTAATATCTTTGAATGAAAGAATTCTTTTTGGTCGTACTTTTCCAAACTGAACTGCTCCTTTCTTTATTATTATTATTATCATTATTATTATTATTATTATTATTATTATTATTATTATTATTATTATTATTAGACTCTCAAACACTAATTTCTGTTCGTTGTTATTCATATTTTTATTATACGCAATTTACCTTCCCTATCTCTTCACAACCTCATTGATATTTTGTGGCGCATATGTATTTAGTGTCCTCTTGTAATGGTGTTTATGTGCTTGGATAAATATACGAAAGCCATCGCAATCCATGTTCACAAACCTAACCTTTGCATCCAAAAGAAAACTGTACAACCAATTTCGCTACCTCAGTCATCGGTATGAAAGTGCTTGCAGCAGAATTATTTTTCGTACTTCTTCCATTCGGTTGTTTTAACTTTGTATTTTTCTCAACATTCATCTCTTGATTCTGACATAACTACTATTATATTGACCATCCATTAAAATATTCTGTTCCTTCTCTTTTTCATATATAATACAACATAAAAACTTCATGCAAACATGTACAACGGAAATCGTATGTGTCAAACACTTGAATTTAGCAAACAAATCTTAATGGTTCCAACACTTTCATTTCATTCACACTCCAAACCAGAAGCTAACAAAGTCTCCTTTCTCTTTTGACACAGTTGACTTGCTGAGGCCCTTGTCTCTAAGAACGTTACCTAACGTCAGTATAAACGGGTATATACAGAACTTACTAATCCTACAACTTCACATACCTTGGCAACAATTTCATACATTTACTTATCATAATTAACAACAGTGAAATACATTTTAATTAAATGTACACAAAAGGAGAACACATCAGCTAAATCAATAAACGCCAGATGCAGGGCTTCATGCTGATGGAGAACAACCTTACCAATCCATATTTGTACAGCCAGCACGTAAGCAGCTGAAAACGTGACTACGGGATCTACAGCCCACATCGATTGCAGTATGTATACAGAGAATGCGCCCAGAAATCAACAAACCGCTAGGCACATTTCAGTCACTCACATTGATGTGGAGTAAGGCTTGTCTCTGTTAGTGAAACGCAGCATGCTAAATGCGTCAAATCACCAGACCAGAAATCTTACCAGAAAATGTTTACCAAACTCCTCAAGGCAACCCTTGAAAAACTGCACATCAATGAGCAAATACTCAGTCACGCTCACACTTTTTATCATTCAGAATGGTCCAGAGAATCGCTGCCTCAACTGAAGAGGCATCTGTTTCAGCGTATATCTTTAAGACGAGACATAACAAACACAACCCACTCATTAGATGATGGTTGAAGGTAGTCAACAGGAAACCGTGGACCCGGGTTTCCTGCTACTTGGTACTAACCAGCAAGACGTACCTGTAATCCTGAGGGACCTGGTGCTCCCTGGCGGATTCGATCCCGTTTCACCCAGATTCACAGTCACAGACAACCAACGATCAGTCAATTTTGACAACCCACTCATGTATTATCATCTAACACTTAAACTAGCTTTACCTAACGCAGTGTCGCAACTTATTTCCTGTCACCGCTACCACAAATCAGTAACTTCTTCTTATTTCTCTGCGAATAGTCTCCATTTATCCATTTATTCTTAACCATTGGTCTTCTCATACAGTCTGCATTACTAATTAATTTATATATTTATATATCTCTTGAGAAAATTGTCTTCTCATTAGACCTGAATATTCTACTTATTTTTTATATTGCACTCTATTAACGTAATAGCTGCTGGTTTCGGAAAACGAACTGTCCTGAGACAAGCTCATTCGCTCAGGTTACATGATGTACAAATTATAACACTAATAATATGATAAGATAGAAACGATCTTTGATTCGAAAATATTAATCAATTGTTAATTGGATCACTACCTCAACTTGAACAGTTGCAGTTGGATAGAAGTTAATCGAGAAGAGAACTTACGTGCATCTCATTGAGGGATTTACTGCAATGACGATTACAACCAAATGATCCATTGACAAATTTCAGAACCTGCAAATAACTACCAAAACTAGCTAAAACTACTGCAGTCGAATAGTCAGACTAAATATCATCGAACGTTACACTGGACATTGGTCCGTATCTAAAAAGCAAGTGAAAAGAAACTTGTAAAATTACAAGAATACGTCACAAAAACATTGGACTTCATTTTTGGCCTTGACGGTTTTTCAAAAGAAGACGGTGTCATTACTAGTAATTCCTATTTATTTCTGCCTTGAAGTGAAACAGATATTCTGTGGCTATCGTTAGTGCCTTCAGTGAAACATTTTGCATTTATCATGCCCTCATCGTTTACATTTTCCTGCTGAGGTTCTCGTTAATTTCGACCTAACTAATCATGCTTAATATTTTGCGTAACGTGTATAAAATTTTAGCAAAAACATTCATTTTTGTGGCCCTTATCCCTTGCTCTAAGGAAAAATCAACGCTACCTCCGGAATTCCATGCACATTCTAAAAATTCTACGTACATTTCTTTAGACGTCGCTTAAATTTCCTCAGAGTTCGTATACATTCCCGAAGCGTCTTTTGTCAACTACCCGTTGCCTTCATGAATCAATTATGCACCCCATCAACGACATGGTAGACGGGAGACTTATGTTTAAAGGTCGAGATAAAGCTTTTTTAACACTATATGCTCTAAATAATGTGACAGATACCTACACTTTAGAAAGTAGCTCTCCTGAATCTCACTTAAAAACATGAAATTGATTAAAAAGACTATGTTGCTATAAAAACGAAGGGTGCTGTTATTTCCACCCTGAGTTGAAACCTTTTGGAAGTAGTTTCATTGTTGTTTATATTCGTTCACAGTACATAGTTTAGTGTAGTTTCTACTTCAGTGTCGTATTTTAACTCACACTTTTCTCTTCAAGATTTTCACACTTATTTCTCATCCTCATCTCGAAAAAAAGTTACAGGTTACAAGTAAACCCATCAGTGGCTTGGCGTTCGAAAAAAGCATGTACAATGGTCAAACCAAAATTTGATTCTTCTGGTTTAGCTATTAAAACAGGTGGTATCCGTTTTCAGAAGACAAAGGGTCAGCATATACTGAAAAATCCCCTCGTTATTACCACAATGGTGGAAAAGTCTGGTATCAAGTCCACAGACTCTTTGCTTGAAATTGGTTCTGGAACTGGTAACCTCACTGTCAAGTTGTTAGAAAAGGGAAGGAAAGTGTACGCATTCGAAATAGACCCAAGAATGGTTTCAGAATTGCAAAAACGTGTGCAAACCTCGTAAGTTCCTGTACATGATTCCTATAATCATGTGGCCACCAGTAAACTGTTTAGTAATTTCTATCGTACGTGACTAGGCACTGGATGTTATTAGTATTATTAATTCGCCAACCAGTTATACATTCGTATATTTGACTTTGAACCCTGGCGTGTGTAGGCTGTCAATACTACCCGATTAACATAAGTGGAGTGGATTTCGAACCTGTGGCTTCCGCAGATCAGTAGTATCGACATCTCTCACACTTAGGGTGTGGCTCAAAGTCATATAAAGGTTTTAGACAGTCAACCCTATACAGCAAGAGTGGCCTCATGACAACACCATTGCCTTTAATATATCACCATTTTCTTGAGGATGATGATTCACATTTGATGTATGTGTTTAATACATATGAATACATGTAGTTTAGTCCCTCGGTTAACTCAACGTGTATATAAACCTGATGATGTAAGTTTCAACAATGATGAAGGTAACGATGTATCAAATAATAGTCAAATCAATGTACCATTATGGTGTGTTAGTTACTTAAGCTGTAGTTAATAAACACTTACAGATCCCAGGAGCTAGTTATTTGAACTGTCATCACTCTAGGCAAATACTTATTTCTAGACCACACCAGTACTCACACAGCATTGTTACTGGATATGAGCAGCTCTTCAAAGACGTTCTCAAAACAGAGGTCGTAAACACTAAAAGGAGTCGAGTCTAAGTAACTCACTTTGTTTCTAAATAGTTGTACCATAAGTCAGATTCAATAACAGCTTCCGAAAGTAACCATTCATTGACTTAGTATCATTTGGACAGAACAGAGTACCTAACTGAAATCTACAATTGAGCGAGTTCAAAATTTAGGTGTGAAAAAATTATAGGGTACATGGGAACAGAACAAGAAAGTATGTTAAGGTGATATAAAACACATTTACAGTAAAATATAGTTCGATTGATTAATATACAAGGTTAGTCACTATCCCCATTAGTTTCTGTCTCCGAAGTCACTAGAATTCTTCTTTTACTTAAGGATTCTCCGTATTTTTTTTATATACTGAACTCACTGTTTGACAGTTTTATGAGAACCACTTTACACGCAAAATTACATTTTTACAAATACATTTGATCATAACCAGTAGTAATTTAGAAAGAAACCGTTTCGGTTAACATTTCTTGTATGATCAGGTTACTTTTCTGTTTTGTTATAACTGATCAACGTTGACAAAAGCTTCACAAGTATTAACAATGCAATTCTCATATTGCACAGTTTTCCATTTATTTAAATCCAGATACCTAGACGATTTGGCTCTGTTGTTCACTTCATTCTTCTTTAGTTCTGTTTGCTTTTACCTTATGCCTAATTTACGCGTTCGCGAAGTCGCTTAGGGCGTTTATCTGAATTATCTATTATTTGCGTCAAAAACTGTATAAGTAATTACTCCTAAAACTATAAGCTGTCTAGCCCATCATCCGTCTATTCAAAACAATCATTTGTAATATTAGTAACTATCAGTGTTAGGTTGATGCACTGCTACGTCTCATTTTTTTAACTCCACTGGATGTACGCATTGCAGAAACGTTTTAAGCCAGTGCTTTTTATAAATATTTGTCAGACCACATCGAACCAAACTAGAAATTCTCGTTGGCGATGCAATCAAAGCAAAATCATGGCCCAAGTTCGATCTCTGTATAGCGAACCTGCCGTATAAAATCTCCTCGCCATTCATCCAAAGACTGATTAGCGCAGGTCGCGGTTTTAGAGCAGCAGTTGTTATGCTTCAGAAAGAATTCGCTGATCGTCTTACGGCTAAACCTGGAGATAAATTATACTGTCGTCTGTCAGCATCTGCTCAGTTCCACTTCAAAATTGAACAGTTGATGAAGGTAGGTTGTTAAATATAATCGCTATTTAAAATCACCTCTCACTTATTATTATGGCGTTAATGTTTTTCACTTTTTCTTCATATATGTTAGGTGGAAACTTGTCTTCCATACTTCAGGCCTATAAATTATTCTCATTCCACCACTCTTCTTTAGCCTCTGTCATCACACGACCTGCTGGTATTTAAAAACTCGAATCACTTTGCGATGTAATATCTCTCCTATAGGCTCATGTATCTACCAAACAAATAAATACGGATGTACAGCTTAAGTAAATTATTTTATCAAAAAATAAAATTCTGTTTATTCTGATTCAACGACAATGATACTTTTATTATCAGAACGATAAATTTACGGTGGACGAATCCTCTCCACTAGTTCTGACTCCAAAGTGAAACCGTCTAGAATTAGTTCGTACCGGTTAAAGATCAGAGTATTCTTGAGCAACCTGTCATCAGACGCGTCCGGTTTTTAATAAACGTATGTTTTCATAGATATAGGAGCGTTAAAATGAGTTTAAAAATCTTATTTGTAGGAAGTTTAGTGAGTACATCCCAGCATTGCGTAACATTACAGATTCTTTCCATCTTGCTTAATTTGACTTATCTGAAAAACGAAGGATTTTTCGCTACTGAAAGGTTGCTCAAAATTTATTAATGCTGGAAATTTTCGGAAATGCTTAAAGATTATAATGGGTGTGAATATTACTTAAAATCGGATAAGTATAACTGGTAAACTAGGAGTTAAGTTAATTGCGTTTGCACTAACTATATAAAGTTTGCGTTAACATAGCTGCTCACTCCTTTTTTTTAAAACGTTTGATAAACATACACCGTAACTCCATTTATCTGTAGTTAGAAATATTTGGATTACTGTAAATGTTGTCCAAAGGTCACTAAACCCTTTCAAGAATTGCGTGGAGGGTTATCTAAGGTCATTATTCACTGTGAATAGATATGACGTCCTACCATGCATTCGTTCTTCTGATCTTTTAAGGTTTCATCTTATGATGATGATTTAAACGTAAAGAGTAAATGATGATAGTTTGGGTTGAACACTCAATTGGAGTTCTTTTTTATTTACGTTAGTATCATTAATTACATCTTTGCTGAATTTCTCATTTGTATTTTTCAAATATCGCTCTGGTAATAATTCGCAAAATGAAATCACTTAACATATAAGGAAGAAGGTAAGCGAAAGATAATCAAAAATGCATATCCATGTTCTTTCCTCCACTGGATTAGGGTATAATCCGTTATTTTAATGCATACTGTTAAGTCAGCGATCGAGCTTATTTTCAACTGTTAGGTAAGCTAGGAAGCTAAACTGTGCACCCAGAATAATTTATCATTCGAATACTCGTACGTGTTAGAAAACGGCAACAAGATATACGAAAATGTCAGGAATTAACACCGCATGTACAAAACTTCACTATCATTTCAGTTTTTATGTCACAGCTTACACCATTTTAAGTTGTTTAACCCTTATGTATATTATTCCTTCATTGTAAGTATGTTCAAATATCACAAACAAGCCACTAACTAAACCTCTTACAATTTATTTTAAATATTAGATCAATAGAAACAGTTTTCGTCCCCCACCGCGTGTTGATTCAGCTGTTGTTCGGATTGAACCCAGGCATCCATTACCACCTGTGATGCATTCAGAATGGGATGGATTACTGCGTCTTGTATTTGCTCGCAAAAACAAAACGATCGGAGCTAACTTTAGCGGCAAGTCAATAGCTTCACATTTACGTAAGATTTACATGGAGACTTGTTGCACAAACGGATTGTCACCAACTCCAGAGGTTATTGCCTGTGAGTCTACTGGTGTTTCAGCAATGGAGGAGAAAATAACAAATATACTTCGAGATTCAGGTTTCGAAAAAAAGCGCGCCCGTACTTTGGACGAAGATGACTTTCTTAGATTATTACTAGCCTTTAAAAAACAAAATATAAATTTTGGTTGATTTTTCTGTAATGTTCATATTTTTTAAAGAATTGAGAACACATGATACGTTGCACATAGTCGAGTATATCTGGGCCGTAAGGAAATTGTGCTAAAGTATGACAAAACCACCTAACGATCTTTCCCATGATTTACGAAGATTATTTCCGTTTCGGTTCCCATGACTAAATGATGGAGACTTCATTAGAATGGAAAATAAATTTATCTTAGAACGCCCTTTTAAACAACATTTACAAGTCAAAACTCGTAAAAATATCATGCAGATACCTTTTTGATTGACCCATTCTCTATTCGTACATCAAATCCAGTTTCAGCAGCTACATGTGTTTGGTGTTTTAAAGACTGATATAAGAGCAGTGAAGAAATATTATCTTCGAAGTCGCTCAAACGGAAATCAAGTGGTGGAAAGTAAGAAATACACGACGCAGTCCATCAGTTCCCACAGCAGTATTCGGTTAATCATTATACAACCAACTACCACCTAGAATCTAATCAATAAAAGCTTTGTTGTTAGACTTGATGTTACCCTATCGCTCGAGGAAAATCCCAACACTCGGAGGTTAAAGTCAAGTAATTATACTGTTCTTTGTTATTGTTCTTAAACTAAAGCATCGATTAAAAATGTGTTTCTAATGGGTAAGATCGGATTCAAATCACGGTCTTGAAATTAAAAGCTTTCAAGTGCAGTTAGTAGGGGTTATTTTAGGTAGGGAAATCTTGAGGCCTCAGCCGTTAACAATAATCTCATAGCAAGCTTCGGGAAACTCGTGGATGATTTTTTCGGAGAATGATATAGAAGAGACACTAAAGATTGTGTTCGAATGTAAGAATTTCAGGCTAACCAACTTGTAATTGATACTTTGAAGTATGAGGAAGACTGAGTGTGCTAGGGAACTGCCAGAAACATAATTTCACATGCAACAGAGAACAGTCGTTTTGGACTAAACGTTTTGCTATCGTCAACTTAATATGTGTTTTCCCTTATAAAAAACCTTTAGGTAACAAAAGAAAACCAATTTTATGTGAACTATGTACAATATACTTACAAAATTAATACGGTCAGTAGAGTATGTACATCTTAGCTACACAAAGCGTTGTCTTGTGGACAGGAGTGGGCTAGCAAATCGTTCGTGACTTTTTATTGTACGACGTTCTTTGACAAGCTTTAATCGAAGGTCATCTGCTTGACGTCTTACTTGTCGTAAAATGGATCGCTTGTAATGACTATAAGTGGTCCGAAAACCAGGATGTGATGTAGATAAATAGCAAGTTTCATTTGTCATAATAGTATTAGAAAATTTGGAAGTCATATTTTTAGTTTCGGGAGCCATATTTTCGAAGGCGTGCAAGCTGAAAACAGTATCTGTCGTGATTGTAACTTCTCCAATTGACTTGGTACTGGACAAGGTGTCCGATCTTAATGGAGCATGAAACACTTCAGTTGTCCATTCCAACTCGTCTTTAACTTCGTGGTGGTCAGTATGAAGAAATACTGGGAAACCAAAAATCATGTATTAAGTACTTGATTCTTATTCATCATAATATTTATTATTAAAGAGAATAATTAAGCAAATATTAAAAACTGAAAATTTTCACCGGCATGACTACTTTAAGGCTTAAACTATTCATACTGTCAAATAATGATTAAGTTTTGACTAAAGTTCTGTTCTTTAAAATGAATTCGAAGCTGAAAATTATGAACACAAAATGGAACTAACTAACATATAAAGAATGAGAATACAGATAGAGCGCAACAAAGATTTGTGCACGGTTCCTAATCCGGCTTAGTGATATTTTACAATTCTTAATTAACTATGTACATTAGTATATATAAGTCTTGAACAGAAATCATAAGCCTGAATGGTTTGTAATTTCATAAACAGTGGACTGGTTGAAAACTGTTCAAAAAGTATCACTCAAAATGTGTATCTGACTACCTGTTTTTATTCTTGGATTCAACACCAACTACCTAGAAACGTCTCACACAATCACCAAAGTGAAGATAAGCATGACCAAAGCAGTCAGTCACCTACAACGTAGGACCAGGCACATATGCATCAGTCCAAGTTGCCACACCTCATCAGCACAACAACATGAACACTAAATTCTTGGAAGTAGTTACTTCAATGGTAGCAATATATAAAAGACTGTGCATAACGATATAGTGCAGGTAAGAAGAATTAGTCTAAGGGAAGACAAAGAGTGTATACACCAACACACCTCTCCTCATTGTTCCATTCAAGCAGTGGGATTAGGCAGGGTTGCCCAATCTCACCATTCCTCTTCAACTTTGCTATCGATGACGTTCTGGAAACAACTCTGATGGATGTAAGTAATGGCGGTGTGGATCTGTTACCAGCAGAAAGACTCTTAGACCTTGAGTATGCGGATGATATTGTCTTACTGTGATGAAATCCATGCCATGCAATCCACACTTAATCAGTTGGCAATCAATGTCCGTAGGTATGGTATGTGCTTCGCACCTTCGAAGTGCAAAGTACTTCTACAAGACTGACAGGATTCTAATCCTATACTCACCCTGGATGGTGAGCAGATAAAAGTAGTCGAGAAGTTCGTGTATCTAGGTAGCTGCATAAGTGCTGGTGGTGGCGTGAGTGATGAGATCAATTCACGTATAGTGAAAGCCAGAGCGGCTTATTACAATCTGGGTCATCTTTGGCTCCTTTGTGATGTTAATCTGGCTGCAAAAGGTCGGATCTACAACGCGTCGGTGAGAGCAGTTTCGCTGTATGTTTGTGAAACCTGGCCTCTCCTAGTTGAGGATGTTAGACGACTCTCTGTGTTTGATCATCGTTGTCTCCGAAGAATTGCTGCAACGCAATGTCAGTAATACAGAGGTTCAGCATCGTGTGTTCGGGCACAGCGACGATAATTCGATTGGTATCACTATTTTGAAACATCGACTTCGGTGTGTTCTACGAATGTCGTCCTAGAGAATTCCACGCTGTGCATTACTTGCAGACGCTGGGACTGGTTAAAAAACGCGGAGAAGTGGTCAGTGTACATGGTGTCACGGTATCAAAGAAAGCTGTGCATGACTGGCTTCTGTCGGTCCTTCATGACTCCATGATTGGGGTTCTAAAGATAATCTAACGCATTGGCTAGAGACGTCATCAAATATGGCTCAGAATAGAAGCCAGTGATGATCCTACTGTAAATTTATTTTGCTTTCTTCATTAAAAAAAGACGTAATTTCTTTAAGTGGAAGAATTCTCTGTGGCTGTATTTTTACTAATTGAACTGTCTCTCCCATTATTGTTATTTCATCATGATACACTAATTTCTGTTCATTGTTGTACTTCTTTTTTCTTATACACACTTTAAATTCTTTATATATTTACATTCTCATTATTATTGTGTAGCGCATATGTATCTGGTGCCCCTTTGTACTAATATTTGTGTTCAAATAAATAAAATAATAAAACTGAGATTGATTCTGAGCAATATCACCTAGAGTCTCCAACCGTTGATTACGATAGTCACGCGGACCTCAACCAAGTAGTTTGCATCTACCAACATGGCGCAGACCATAAGTTAGTGACTTTATGAACTCATGCCACATTTTAGTTTGGCCGCCACTAACTTTCTTCCAACCGTCTCCAACACTAGCCAACACTGCGCGTCGTGGTAATCGGTGTTCAGGCATATGTAACATGTGGCCCAACTACCTCAATCAATGAAGATTTACAACCTCGTCAACTGACTTACCATCAAACCTTAATATCCTACGTCTAACCTCACTATTACTTACCCGGCGATCCCAGCAGATGCGAGCAATACTTCTAAGACATTTGTAATCTAATACGAGTAGCTTACGAGTATCTTCTACTATTAATGGCCACGTTTCACAGCCTTAAAGTAAAACAGAACGAGCAGTCGCGCAATATACTCGTTCCTTAATTGAAAGACGGATATTTCGCCTTCGCCATAGGTGACATAAGTTGACAAAAGCCAAACAAGTATTCTGAATCCGTGCAGAGATCTCATCAGACACCAATCCATTAGAGATCAAACTTCCAAGATAAGTGAAGTTATCTACGCGTTCGACTTATTCAATCTGTATCCTTAATTCAGATGTTGAAGCAGGCCAGTCCTGAAGCAACGACTCTGTATTTTATCAGCGTCTTCATCAAATAGGACTGTCATCTGCGTATTCTAAATCGATGAGTGGACCTCCTGATCAAAGCAAACTTGGTGTAAACAGAATATTGGTATATCGGAAAAAAATGACTACGGAACACAAAAAAGTAATTATTGGGAAGAATATCTGATGATCAACCAAATGTTATGTTCCAGTACCTCGTTAATTAGCCAAGAACTGTTAAAAATAATGCAAAAGAGATTGTTATACAAGAGATATACGTAGTAATTTAATGTATGTCTAAAATCCATAAGTTAAAAGGGCTCTTGAATGCAGAACGATAATAAATTATGTTTATATATATATGCATATATATATATATATATATATATATATATATATATATATATATATATATATATATATATATATGCATTTTACTTATCAGCTGCAATAAGAAAAATACATATTAAATACACCAACTGAAATGCAGTTTTTTGCATACTTCTAAAAGCTCCAATCTTAGTTTTTACATTAAAGCCAGTGATAATATATAGAATGATGTCATGCAGATTATAAATCAGAATGCTTATTTATTTATTTATTTTAACACAGATTTTGGCACAAAGAGGCACCAAATACATATGCGTGCACACAAATCTCATTTGATATGTGTGAGGGCTGTGATACTGATCGGGTGCCCAAACCGAAATAGGATCAGAATGCTTAGTCGTTGCCCGCAAATTTTATCGTTCCATAATAATCAATTCAGTATAAAAATAAAACTTGATTTGCTTAAGTTTAAATATAATGTTGAATATGTGAGGTTCGAGAAAGCCACTTCAAGCTATGACGCATTTGTCGATCTAGGATAATATTTATCGAACTATATCAAACCAGAATGTTACTT